CACACACACACACACACACACACACACACCTGCGAAGGAGATATCTATACTGGGGCCAAGAAATACAGACTTGACATTTAATATGGAAATTTTTTTTCCAAATCACTTTTCATCAAATTTTTCCTATTTAGCTGACTGATATATGAAAATAGGGATTAAAATCGTGTTTTAATAACTTTTAATGATCTCTTTGATGTCATTGTGACATCAGTTCATTAATTGAATTCGCCAGTGAAGCAAACAAAAATACATTGCCTATTTTATGTCATACAACAACCATTTAACTCGGTATTTTGGATCTCCATATTTTACGAATTATCGTCTGTAAAAGAGTTTTGTCGCACGACATGTAGGCCGTTGATTCGGTTAGTAATGGCCTACCCACATATTGTCTATGTGGTTCAAATTTGGCGATATTGATGACCAAGGTGGCAGCTCATTCTGCTGGTTCTGTAAGTTATCCGCTAATAAAACCGGCACTCTCACCGTGCTACCCAAAATTGTTCCTAAGGACCCTCCTATCAAATGATAGTCAAGTGGTCCCCATATTATTCCTTTATTTGATCTGGTTCAGGTTTTCATAGATGACTACTATTGGTGTTTTGGTGGTATCCAGTCCAAATACTGACGCTGTCAATGACCCTAGTCACTTTAGACTCGGCACACTCTTCATCATAGCCCCTTTCTGGATGTCTGTAAACTCTGTTTTGACTAGTTGAGCGGTACAGGTGAAAACTGACCTCAGTAATGAAAACCACGCGATTTCAGTGTTCTACCCAGAAACGGTCATGGTCCCCAATTCATTAAAGAAACAGACGACGCTGTTTTGCCGTTTACAGTGGTTTCCCCGGAGGTCGTCTGGTATTCTAACCTGCTAAAACAAGTTTGTTGTTCGCTAAGGGCCTTGAAAAACGCGTTTTGAAAGCAATTTACCCCTCATTCTGAACGGACTGGGTGTTTTTGTTTAGTTGCAGCACCATATCCCAAAAGACAGTGAGTCCTGTACCCTGGTGGTAAGATTTTGATACATTGGGTGTGGCCTCTGTGTAGGTACATCAGTCTGGGCATTACTCTATAAAACTGTGCGGACCGTTCTGTTTGGCGCAATAATCTGTCTAGCAATGTCTGTCTTTTTAGCACCATTCTACCACGGATAAATATTTTTTAAAACACCACTTAGTCCATTTTACGCACTGCAAAACCGACCGCTTGCTAAAAAATTTCAAATTTTTTCATGCAGTAGTTGCCGACATATGGATACTTTTTTGACAGAACCATGTTTTGGCACACCCAAGCATCGACCAGTCCAAAGGAGCACTACCCAATTAAATCATTGCATAATACACAATACAGAAGTGCAATAGACATGGTAGTCAGTTCATTAGTAACGACACACCTGACTACACACTTCTCCATTCACATATCTTATATGAGATCGGATTTCTTTGAAAAAAGAACGCATCTTTACCAAGGCATACCTTCGAAACTAAAATATTCCATATTAAAAGTCAAGTCTGTATGTCAAACTATATGGTTTTTTTCTGTATTGTCAGCCCCCAAATCCCCGTTCCTACACATTTACTACTTGAATTTTTCTTCCTACATTCCTTAAAGCATCTCAGGAATCATGGCAAGCTTTTTTTTATTTACCCCTCGTTTTCTTTTACCTTCACTTTTTTACTTTGCATCTATCGTAGCCTTTTTCTTTCTTTGTCAATTAAATACGGTTTGCATGTCTAGAAATGACAAACATTATCTAAAGAAACAAAATTCTTTTATTCTAATAGAAATACTGGAGTTTGTACATGTCATCAATTCATTACTACGAATATATTCTAATAGAAAAGTCAAATCGTTTGGTTTCTTAATCTAATGCTTAGTAATGTAATACAACATTTAAAAAATATTTTTTTAAAAAATACGCGTTTTTACAACGTTTTTGTGATAAAAACATGGCCTTTATATTCAAACAAGTATTGAGAAAGCACCTTGCAATTTTGAATTACTATGACGATAAACGTTTTCATTTTCATATGATGTTTTTAATGCGTCCTGGTTTCCTATATTTTGTTTGCATAATAATGATAATAATAATAATAAATATTTTAAAAAATACAATGACTGAATAAAAATTAAAATAAAATTAAAAAGTGTAAAAAAAAAATAAAATAAAAGAATTGGTTAAAATTAAAGTTTCAATTCTAAATTAGATAATTTACCTTGGATTTACAACACAAATGAGATAGAGTGCAGTACACCTGGGAATCTCATAACAATACTGTGTCAATTGCGAACTTACAACTAAAAGAGGAAAATAACTTAGTATGTACAGAAAATATCAAATAAGAATAAAATAATAGTGTATAATACAATTAAGTCTACCCTGTAGGTGTTTATCCGACGTAAAGAAGAGAAAATAATGTCAGTTTAACTTGTTTCTCACCTAGATTTAAATAGAGAAAGATCCAGAGTTGAAACAGAACAGACAACCATCACGTTTTGTTGGTGAAGAATACAATCTCTTGTCGCCTCTGCATTTACCATTCAAAATAAAACTTACGGTAATCTCATACAGCATTGTCTTAATTGTTAACCGTGTGACATATTCACTTGAAATGTACCAAATAACATTGCCAACATCATAGTCATTTCAGAATAATTAAATTCAAAGTAAAAACAATAAACTGTCAACGCACCCTTTTTTGTTTATATTGGCAGTGCGTCGCCCTCTTCACTGCATGGCGTTTACGGCGTGGGCGTGGCATGCAACGGTATGCCATTCGACTCCCTCGGTTCAGGAACAACGCAGCACGGGAACAAAGTCTCCATAAAAACCCTCCTAAATCGCTTCCCGGCGACGTAATACACCCAAAAGTTCAAGGCATGGTTGATCAGAGCGAGGCAGATGGCAGTCTCGAGCGCGTACTGAAAGTTGTCTTGCGCCACCACAGAAAAGAAGGGGCGAAAGGGGTTTATAATGTGTGTCAAACACAGAGGTAGCTGGCAGACAATGAAGACGAGGACTACCACCACTAACATGATGTTTGTGCTTCTGGTTGACGCTCTCTGGCCAAACAGGCGCTTGCCGTTTTCGTCCATCTTGTGCAGGGAGGCCAATAGGTGGACGTTGAAGTACCCCACCATAATCAGGGGGATTACGACGATCTCCAGGGTGTGCCAGACGATACGGTAGGCGTACACATACACGGGATCCCGCCCAAAATCTGTGAATACGACCGAAAGTTGTTTCTCGACCTTTCCGCACGAAGGGTGACAGCGCGAATCGATGACTGTCAGAACTTTCAGTTCCCAGAAGCGGGGCAAGCCGAAGGCGATGGCGAGGACGAAGACGGCAATGATGTGCTTTTTGGTCTTGGAGAGGGTGCAGAGCAGTTTAGCTCTAAACGGATGGCATATGGCAATGAACCGCTCAAGTCCTACGAGAACCACGATCCAATTAGCTAACGCCAGTAGGATAAAGAAGACGGGATAGGAGTACGGGATGCTTTCGGCTATAAATACCATGTACTTCTCCAGCAGCGGCGTGGATTTGATCATGGTAAGATTCGGAACGCAGATGAAAAACAGGCAATATATTAGAATGAGGGAATCTGCAACAGCCAGCGTTTTGAGTAGAAGAAAGGTCGAGGTCATCGTTCTGCCACTTTTCCGGAACACCACAAAGGAGAGTGCATTGCCAGCCAGCCCCAAAATCGAACAGGGCAGAAGTATAGCAATGTTCAACACGTACCGAAACATTCTGTAACTGTCAGAAAACGACTGAAAATATTCCGTTTCAAAGAAAGTGTCTTTTGACTGGATTGAACAGTTACAAGCTTGTTGTGTGTCCACTACGCCATACATAATGGGATTGAGACGAGTAGAGGTGTTACTTTCCGCTATCCCGCTTTCCATACTGTATCCTGCCTTTTGAAACGTCGTGGTATTCGGATAATTGTGGATGGATCAACTCTGTCAAGCAGCGTTACGTTACGTTAAGGTCGCCGTCACACTGAATTGGCAGCGTAAATAAAAGTCAATTATCACGTCAACCGTAGTCCTGTAATTTGTGTAATATTCGAGCACTGTGCGATTAATCGATACCAAATGATATGCAATCGCTGTTGAAACTGAGCGGCAAAGTACTCTGTTCTTGCGACTGTTTGAGGACTCTTATATACGCCATGGAAACGTATGTTCACTAGCATTATTTGCGCAGAAATGTCACAATTTTGCCGCTTATACAAACTATCCACGTGCTGGTGTCAAGATCTCTCACAATCTGGGGATTTTATTCAACGCATACACTTTGCAACGTGACACACGTGCTGATCTTGCCATAAACTGTTGTTCTTTGAATTAACAGTAATCCGCATTGATTTGCCAATCTTGGTTTTCCCAGGACCCTGAACAAGTCCTGTTTCAGAAAGTTGTTCAAAAACTGAGAAAGTGGCTTTTATTTCCTGCATAGCGGTTTTCGAAGAAAATGACCAATTAACTTGAGACACTTATCGAAGGTTCAAGTTGGTGCCGACAGGATGTCCACTGACACTTGATCTTAGTGGTAATAGTGGTTCTTTGTGTTAGAAAGGCAGAATTAAATGTAATTTTAAGCATCGCAAGAAAATATAGTCAACATCGGAAGAGAGTAGTCTTGTAAAAGTAACACGAAAGATTGCTCTTATGCAAAAAAAAAAAAAGATATAGAAGCAAAGTAATAAGGGGAATATGTGTAAAATTGTTCTGTCATTAATCAAGCTATTTTCTAGGTGTAATTTACCTGTTGACGGCTGAATTCGAAGCTAATAGACGCATTACATGTACCTTGTTTAATTGTGTTCGAGTTCTATTACGACAGAATGTTCATGATACGTATATCTCACTCTGTCAACAAATCTATCAACCGTGGCAAACTGATTTTATATGCGTGTAGGTAATCTGCTAGTTAATTGAAAGCTGTTTTTGTTCACTTTTTTATGTTTTTAAAGCATGCTTTCGTCAACGGCAATGAAGTCAGCCTAGTCGAATTGGCTCTATGTGTTTTTTGTTTAAACTAACAGATTGTTATTTAATCTCTTCAAAAATCCTGCAAGTGCCATATAAGAGCAAAAGACATTCTATATGCGCAAAGTGTGAGAGCAAGCATATCGCTTACATACCGCTTTGTATTCAATGTGCCTGACTCATACTGTGTATCAGAACTAGTATCTTGATCTAACATACGAATGAACAGTACCAAAACTGGGGCGATCGATGACGGGACATATTCACTGCCCATGTGCATATAAAGATAAAAATCACTAGTATACATGTATAAACCACTTTAGTTTAAGTTTGTGGGATTGATGGGGTACAATCACAAACAAGTATACTACGCAATAAACATGATTTTCTAATCTTATACATTTTTCAACGTACACCCCTCACTTTTACACTATACATAGGCTAGACTGCGAGAAAAGTGCATGTCATCATTTTAATTTTAAAACCAACTATCATAGTATCAAGTAAAAAGGTTACAATTTGTTCACATCTGCATTCTTAGTCAGACACTCAGAGGAAACGTCATACATTAGAGCAGGAAACGGTGCCATCAGCGAGAGCGTGAAACGTTTTCGTAAATTCTGGAAATATCGATTTTGGTATTACATAGCGCTGGCCCAAGAAGTTTGTGCGACAATTTTCTCGGTTAAAGAAGATTCGATTATGGAGCTACTTTGTTAGCTGCGCAATGAAGTCGTTTGCACGCGACAATTAAATACTGGATTATAACTGAGTTAATTACAAAATGTGCAAAACGATTTAATCCGTTTACACTGCACAAAATGAATGTTTTTTTTTTCTTTTTGTTTTTCAGAATGAGCGTGATTCACTTTCAATAAACTGACAAATTCTGTTAACCATAATATATCTTAAAACAAGCAAATATGAAAATTTTGAAATGCAGACTGCTGTATCATGTAAGGTCCAGCCCCCCTCTCCCCCNGAAACGGATGGCATATGGCAATGAACCGCTCAAGTCCTACGAGTACCACGATCCAATTAGCTAACGCCAGTAGGATAAAGAAGACGGGATAGGAGTACGGGATGCTTTCGGCTATAAATACCATGTACTTCTCCAGCAGCGGCGTGGATTTAATCATGGTAAGATTCGGAACGCAGATGAAAAACAGGCAATATATGAGAATGAGGGAATCTGCAACAGCCAGCGTTTTGAGTAGAAGAAAGGTCGAGGTCATCGTTCTGCCGCTCTTCCGGAACACCACAAAGGAGAGAGCATTGCCAGCCAGCCCCAAAATCGAACAGGGCAGAAGTATAGCAATGTTCAACACGTACCGAAACATTCTGTAACTGTCAGAAAACGACTGAAAATATTCCGTTTCAAAGAAAGTGTCTTTTGACTGGATTGAACAGTTACAAGCTTGTTGTGTGTCCACTACGCCATACATAATGGGATTGAGACGAGTAGAGGTGTTACTTTCCGCTATCCCGCTTTCCATACTGTATCCTGCCTTTTGAAACGTCGTGGTATTCGGATAATTGTGGGTGGATCAACTCTGTCAAGCAGCGTTACGTTACGTTAAGGTCACCGTCACACTGAATTGGCAGCGTAAATAAAAGTCAATTATCACGTCAACCGTAGTCCTGTAATTTGTGTAATATTCGAGCACTGTGCGATTAATCGATACCAAATGATATGCAATCGCTGTTGAAACTGAGCGGCCGAGTACTCTGTTCTTGCGACTGTTTGAGGACTCTTATATACGCCATGGAAACGTATGTTCACTAGCATTATTTGCGCAGAAATGTCACAATTTTGCCGCTTACACAAACTCTCCACGTGCTGGTGTCAAGATCTCTCACAATCTGGGAATTTTATTCAACGCATACACTTTGCAACGTGACACACGTGCTGATCTTGCCATAAACTGTTGTTCTTTGAATTAACAGTAATCCGCATTGATTTGCCAATCTTGGTTTTCCCAGGACCCTGAACAAGTCCTGTTTCAGAAAGTTGTTCAAAAACTGAGAAAGTGGCTTTTATTTCCTGCATAGCGGTTTTCGAAGAAAATGACCAATTAACTTGAGACACTTATCGAAGGTTCAAGTTGGTGCCGACAGGATGTCCACTGACACTTGATCTTAGTGGTAATAGTGGTTCTTTGTGTTAGAAAGGCAGAATTAAATGTAATTTTAAGCATCGCAAGAAAATATAGTCAACATCGGAAGAGAGTAGTCTTGTAAAGTAATATGAAAGATTGCTCAAATGCAAATAAAGAAAGATATAGAGGCGAAGTAATACGTGGAATATGTGTAAAGTTGTTCTGTCATTAATCAAGCCTTTTTCTTGGTGTAATTTACTGTTGACGGCTGAATGCCAAGCTAATAGACGCATTACATGTACCTTGTTTAATTGTGTTCGAGTTCTATTACGACAGAATGTTCATGATACGTATATCTCACTCTGTCAACAAATCTATCAACCGTGGCAAACTGATTTTATATGCGTGTAGGTAATCTGCTAGTTAATTGAAAGCTGTTTTTGTTCACTTTTTTACGTTTTTAAAGCATGCTTTCGTCAACGGCAATGAAGTCAGCCTAGTCGAATTGGCTCTATGCGTTTTTTGTTTAAACTAACTGATTGTTATTTAATCTCTTCAAAAATCCTGCAAGTGCCATATAAGAGCAAAAGACATTCTATATGCGCAAAGTGTGCGAGCAAGCATATCGCTTACATACCGCTTTGTATTCAATGTGCCTGACTCATACTGTGTATCAGAACTAGTATCTTGATCTAACATACGAATGAACAGTACCAAAACTGGGGCGATCGATGACGGGACATATTCACTGCCCATGTGCATATAAAGATAAAAATCACTAGTATACATGTATAAACCACTTTAGTTTAAGTTTGTGGGATTGATGGGGTACAATCACAAACAAGTATACTACGCAATAGACATGATTTTCTAATCTTATACATTTTTCAACGTTCCCAACGTACACCCCTCACTTTTACACTATACATAGGCTAGACTGCGAGAAAAGTGCATGTCATCATTTTAATTTTAAAACCAACTATCATAGTATCAAGTAAAAAGGTTACAATTTGTTCACATCTGCATTCTTAGTCAGACACTCAGAGGAAACGTCATACATTAGAGCAGGAAACGGTGCCATCAGCGAGAGCGTGAAACGTTTTCGTAAATTCTGGAAATATCGATTTTGGTATTACATAGCGCTGGCCCAAGAAGCTTGTGCGACAATTTTCTAGGTTAAAGAAGATTCGATTATGGAGCTACTTTGTTAGCTGCGCAATGAAGTCGTTTGCACGCGACAATTAAATACTGGATTATAACTGAGTTAATTACAAAATGTGCAAAACGATTTAATCCGTTTACACTGCACAAAATGAATGTTTTTTTTTCTTTTTGTTTTTCAGAATGAGCGTGATTCACTTTCAATAAACTGACAAATTCTGTAAACCATAATATATCTTAAAACAAGCAAATATGAAAATTTTGAAATGCAGACTGCTGTATCATGTAAGGTCCAGCCCCCCTCTCCCCCCCTCCTCTTTAAATAGTGTTATGACGTTTACAATGAATACGGTTATTACTTGAATTTTTCAAACGGCCCGTTTTTTGCCTGTGTTTTATATTCATCAGGCCTATGTAGGCCTATCATTTTGAAGACCCTCACAATGTACATCTGACATAAAGCCATCTAACATTTTCGAAACTTTTAAACCAGCATATTCATATTAACATAACTAACGATAAAAATTCGGGAAAATAATCAATTGCTTTTGTTAGAATTTATTAAGAAACTATCCAAGGTGGTCCTATTACTGAAATTCAATTTTTCACAAATGCGTCAATTTTTCTACTTCGTCACTGTTCTAATTGTGA